TATCATACACCCTGCAAGTTATTTTGGCAAAAACGTCATGTAATCACATGTAAAGTTATTGTGGCTAGAAGTGGGTTACTCATAGCAGGACTAAATGAGGTCTATAGAAAACCTAGACGGTGAAATGACGGCTATTGCTTGCTGGGGTCTGCATTATTTGGTATCTTAGGAGAATTTGGGATCTTATTTTACATTTGAAATAAAGCTCTCCGGATTTGAACACCACTTTTCTACACAACAAACATTTGTCTGCACTATGCTTTGGCTGATGTGACCTATGACAAGGCAATTAACATTAACAATATAGGCAACCATATATAAATAAATTATTTCTTGTAGGCTATTTTCTCTCAAGAACCACATTTCATGTTACCCGATGTGGACTTTAATAATTAATTAATGTTATGTTTATTTTATTTTATATTCATTAATATTCTAGTTCTTTGTAAAAGAAAAAGTTGCACTCTGCTCTAAATCTTTTAGTTCACTCGTTACACTATGGTTACACATAGTGATTTGCACTGGTCACATCATGTAATGACTCAGATCATTACGGTGCCGACATGCAGCAATCACTTAACGTGGAAAAACACTGCTGGATGGTGGCGAGCGCAAAAAAGAAACAATGTTGCCTTCAGGCTCCCACCACAAGCTTCTACATCCGAGGGCAGTGAATGTAAATCGACACCCACCTGTACAAACATGTGCCAGCTAAAGGTAACAAGCGAACATAATATAAAGATCCAGTAATTCACATAAGAGTATCTACACTAGTGTTAATTGCTGGAGTATGCTAACTATCTCCACAGTATTAAAAACAGCAGGGAGTAGGCTATCCTAATATTCCACTTAGGCTATTCGTGGTCACAGACCAGCCCGGTCTGATTCATCATAAAATTGTAATAATGCTAAACACAGATTTTGATGGAATTCTGATTTAAATAAAATAATTTTGTATGACCTCTGAAATATCAAACAGAAAAAACTCCTCAGATGTCACGTGTACCCTTGAATTAGATATTTCCTACCGCATATGGTACGTAAAAGCAGCACAACAGGCTACAATGGGCTGTTTGCTTTGGTTTGCTCACGAGCGCTGGGTGAAGCGGTCGGGTGCAGAGCTGCGGGAGGGAGCGGACAAACGTCAACAGACAGCAGTTTGTTTGTACCGTTTGTTTATTTTGAGGGGCCACATGTCGGAAGTCCACTTTGTAGCCTACCTAGGAACGCATCTTCACTATAAGTGCTCCTCCACATACTTTCGTTTTGTAAATCCGTGCGCAAACTGAGCACATGACTTTTTGGTCTTTGCACACCGAAATTTCTACTCAGAGATTTCCTGCTGGCCACACGTAGCGTATAGAAAGGACATCATAATATCCTACTGGGGGAAACAGGTGAAAAATACAGAAAACGAGACAATCTGTAGATGAACCTTAGTAACCTGTTCTCTTTATACCACCATACATAGTCTAAGATGTTTTTAAGACAACAAGCCAACTCGTCCTTGCCTGGGAATCTCACTTCTCCCGCTCCTCGGTGGTTAACCAAGAAGTCGTGTGCACACACTTCTTTGTAATTACCTGCTAGGTGCCAGCGTGCAGTGGCAGGCGCATTTTGCACCCAGTCCTGTTGTTTCCAGGACGCTATAAAAGAGCCGCCTCTTCACTGACAGTCACAACAGTGAGTCGTTTGACACTGAACATACTCCACCAGCACACGAAGAAGACATCAATCGAACAATGGATCCCTGCGACTGCTCCAAGAGTAAGTGTTAACTGTTATGTCTTGTCTCAACATTTCTCATGGTTGGAGACCAGACTATTTGTCATTTTTGGACAATGTGAAGCTGATCTGGCTTAATTTGTTGTCTTCCAGGTGGAACCTGCAAGTGCGGAGCATCCTGCGCTTGCACAAACTGCTCCTGCACCACCTGCAAGAAGAGTAAGTCTGACATCTTTACACCGATAACATGACGTATTGTGTTGGTATTTAATCTTGACCCAGTCAGAGGGACTACTGGATGCAATATATCTGAATTGCTTAAGCTACATTTCCCCCTTCACCCTCGATAGCATTTTATATTTCATTAAATACTGTAACAGTAGAATACTCACGAGGCAGAGTAAAAATTCAGTCATTTATGTTGACGCTGTAGTGTGCAGCCTATCTGCCTCCAACCAGCTGCCCAAGAGGCTGTTAATTGGCTTAATTAGCTGCAGCGTAAAGGTGTAGGCTAAATTCTAGTTCACGGCACCAAGTTGACCAATCTGTGCCCAATGGATGACTTGACTTGGTGTCTTACTGTCCATGTTCGGGTACTTGAGCTGGCATCAGCTGTGAGATCAGCACTCTCTCTTTTCTCAGGCAGCTTACTTGACCGCTGGCCTGTCACTAACGAACTCTTTCTCTTGTTGCAGGCTGCTGCTCATGCTGCCCACCAGGCTGCAGCAAGTGCGCCTCCGGCTGCGTGTGCAAAGGGAAGAAGTGCGACACCAGCTGCTGTCAGTGAGGAGCCTGCAACATCAGCGCTCTACTGCCCTTGTGATGGCGCCTGTGTTAACAACTAATGACTAACTGCAAATGTCTACATAAAATGTATTTTGTACTCGTCTCAGCGTTGCAATAAATTGATTTCCTTAACGTGGATGTGTTGTCTTGGTTTTGGCTTAAAGTGGTCTTACGTGTAGGGTTTCAAGCCTCGGAAAAAAATGAGCTGTACAGTGTAAAGTCATTTAACACAATGGTTCTCAAAGTGGAGTCCAGGGTCCCCAGCAAAAAGTGGAATAATTTATTTTCGTTATAATTCCATCCATAAGGAACAATGACAGAATATGTATGACTACTTGGGTCAAAGGTTTCATACACTTTCTGTAATATAAAATTCTATCACAATGGGGGTGCGTGGTCTAATTTGTGTGAGTTTAGGGGTCCTTGATGTGAAAAAGTTTGAGAACCACTGATCTAACAAAGCTGACTCTCAAAGGGAGGCAGTAGGCCTATATAAAGCTGAAACCCAAGTCCGTGTGTTATGTTGTAGTGCTGACTCCTGATATCAATAAGACGACATATATTATAAATAAACTCCCTGGCTTTATTTTGAACTTGGCCTCCGCGGAACTTTCTAACCATGCGAACAAAAAGGGAGCACTTGTTTCTGGTAGGAACAGTGACATACACCGGAAGTGTTGCGTTGTTTCCGTGTCCAGGAAAAATTCTACCCGGTGCTTATGGCGTTTCAACAATAGCATTGCACTAGACGGTCCTGTTTTATAAGATATTTAAATGGCTCAACATGCCGAAGGTCGTGTCTAGAAGTGTTGTGTGCTCGGACACAAGAGACAGAGAGGAGCACGACGATGGAGAAAAGCCTCTTCATGTCTACTACTGCCTGTGCGATCAGATGGTTTTGGTTTTGGACTGCCAACCATTTTTCAGAACATATTTAACATGCTTTAAAAAAAGTGATTGATGTTCCCAGCGTCCCCAGTGTAAATGACACCTATGAATACATGAGACACATCTGTAGTGATTATGAATTATTCAAACAGGATGTTGGGGACTACAGGTGGTTAGTGAAGTATTGTAAGTAAAAAAACACTTCAGAACATAATTAAGCTCAGTTAGCCTGTTAAGAGTTTGGGTTCTGGCTAGAAACATAAATACAAAGGTATTCATTTGTCATTCATCCATTGTTTGGTCCCATGTGCTGGTTGTGTTTTTCTTTATATATATTTTCTTTTCCAAACTGCAACGATTGTTATTCTGGGACACTTGGGGGATGACAGAGAGGTGCTGTTCGTGTCCGAGACCACAAGAGGGAGACATCTACACATTTAGAGAGAGAGAGATTTTCCTTGTTGAGTTTTGAACTATTTGGTCCTAAATTTAGTATTTTCTGTGCTCATTTTAAAAACATAGTCTACATATTACTTTTTCTCCAGTTTAGTTCCTGTAACACTCCTCTTTGGTTTGGAATTGACCAGCCAGTGGTTAAAAATAAGTGGGCAACAACACCAACAAGCTGTGCAAAATATAGCCTCCAAGTTTATTCATGCATTTCAGTAAATAGACATAAAAAAAAAAGGGTTAAAACAAGGCTGAAGCTAAAAAGTCAGTTCAAATGGGGAAAGCTTAGGATCATTTAAATAAAAGGGTATCAGGGTCTTTGTGGCTGGGTGTGCTCAGCGTCGGCTCCCTGCGTGGGCGAAGCCCAACAACGCGACAGGGTCTGCTGTTGGTCACAGGCTGGTCGGTTGTGGCCTCCTCACTGCTTGAGGCCTCTGGTAACTCCACTAAGTAGCTGTGGCTCTGCACCATGCGACTCCCCAGACCACAACACAGCCGTGTGCCACACTATCTGGGATATCAGCAGCAGCCTCAGTACACCCGCACACTGCACACAGGAGACAAGCAGAAACTCTCAGAGCTTAGTGTGTGGCTGGTTAAATGGCTGCAGATTGGAGGTCACGCCCAAGCACACCTGTCTGCCATCAGCACATCCCCATGCAATCAACCCATGTGAAAACCACACCCACCAAACTCACACTCACTCTAGGTGGTCACCCATCATTTACATTACATTTACATTTACTCATTTGGCAGACACTTTATCCAAAGCGACTTACATTTGAGAAACAACATACAAGCATCAACAGAGCATCAATAACAGATCTACAACTGACAAAACATACTAGTAAGAGCAGCAATAAATACTAGTAAGAGCTCACAGTACATATCACATCAATCACTATCACTGCACTCAAAATCAGGCCGATACAGGTCTACCCCGTTACATTCCAGTTTACTGTGTTACTGTAGAAGTTAATGGATGGAAAAATGTGCAAGCAACACATGTAGTACAATTTGTACTTTTACTTTGTAGGAGCACATAACCAAAACATGGCCTGCACATACATCAAAACAGTCTATTGTCACCTGTTAACTAAAAACTATACAGTACATTGGAGATACTTATATAGATATATTTGAGGTTTATTTTCTCCTGATCAAACTTGCAGCTCTTACTTTTGCTGTGTGCGCAGGATGTGTGCATGATGTGTGTGTGTGTGTTGTCTGACTTGGGGAAGACAGAAGCCATGTCACCAATTGGGCAATTGCTGATTTTGTGATAAAAGTGATAAAAGTGATTTGTGATAAAAGTTAGTGTTGGGCAAGTAGTGTTTATGATTCGGATTAAGTCTCCAGGAAAGGAATTTAAGTCGATTTAGCGTAATGTCCCCAAAAGTGACATAAGTAAACAACAGGAGTATGTGTGTGTGTGTGTGTGTGTGTGTGTGTGTGTGTGTGTGTGTGTGTGTGTGTGTGTGTGTGTGTAAAGGGCAGACCGAGGAGAATTTGATCCTTAAGCCCAGCATGGGACAGGGTACATGCACTGCAAAAAATGCTTACCCTCACAAGTGATTTTATTTTATTTTAAAACAGAAATTTCAATTTCAATTTCAGATGTGATTATTTATGCATAAAAAGACATTAGATTGGAAATGATTTCATTTATTTCATATAAATGATTTAATAAGTCATATCATAATATAATGAAGCACATCCCATTGCTTGGAATCAGATGAACTATTATTAGGCTACTATAGAAAGATCATTTCACTCAAACTGTACCAAAATTAGGAGAACTGAGTTGAAGATCAAGTCTTGTCACTGAGCTCCTTGTTATTTGCTGAGCATGCTAGGATCTTGTTCCACCAGGACTGACACGTCTCCGTCTCCCTGGATCCCCCCACACATACTTAGCCTACTGCCTCGACAAAATGAAGCAAAGAAAAGCTGCCCTCTGAATCTCTACCGGCTTCTAGGAAAAACTTACTGGAATTCATGGTAAATAAATTAATATCAGCAGCGTGTGGTTCATCTGCCAAGAATTTATTTGCTACATTAGGCCACATGTTTTCTATCTTAAATCATATGCTGGAGTACGTGCTGTGTGTGGAGGACTTGTCCACTTTCTAGGAAGGTTAACACGTGTTTGACGTCTGGCCTTGGCCCTAAAGCAGGTCAGTTCAGCTCTTTTGGAAATCCTGACAAAATGATCTTGAAAAGCACGAAACAGCCCTTTGGAATTTATTATGAGTGACAACAAAGATTAACACTGAAATAATAATATCAGTTTTAGTAAATCTGGCGACAAGGTGAAAATGTATCTAGAGCTTGTGATAATTTTGTTTTCAGTGAAGGTAACTGTTCTGCATCAATTCTTCAGAACCAGTTATCATTCTGCTGCTCCTGTTTGTTTTGAATTTATACCATTAACAGGCCATGTATTACAGTGCATGCTAATAGTAATGGTGATTATACTGGGGTTAAATAAAATGAAGTCATCCTGTATTTGAAGCATATGTAACAAGTGAAGAGTTAATAAAATGGGATCTTCACCAGTACAAAGAATTTATAAACGTCAGGTGGAGACATTTCTAGACCTAGGCTACGTCACTTGGGTGACTACTTTGCTGAGAGAGAAGCTGTGTCCTGCATGTGTTTCCATTGCAGCAGATGCAGTTCTATACATTGCATGAAGTCCACATGTACTGTATGTGAATGCTCAACTAGCTCTGTTGCTTCCAGCTTCCCCTGTTTTCACACCGATTAGCATCTAGTCTAATTGGGTCTGAGAAAAGTTCATCAATCAAGTGAAACTAATCACATCAGATGCAGTGTTTGATAACCACAGAAACAAATCATCTGCAAAGTGCTGTAGTCTCGGACAGACATTCTGCATTATTGGAGGACCAGCAGGCAGGGATGATACACGGGGCAACTTTTTGAGCAATGTTGCTGGGCAATCTTGCTAGTGGCAAATCTGACTATGTTTTGAACGGATAGTGGCTGTGCGGGGCGGGTGGCGGAGTGGTGGGGGAAGGGGATTATGGTAGTAATCTTTACTCATTACCATTGACGGCAACGTTGCCCTGCATGATTGCTCTAAAAGTTGCTCTGTGTATCATCAGCTTTAAGGCACTGGCGTCAGTTGCAACAGGAGTCCAGTCATTCACTCTAACAAGTAAAGTTGTCTATTAGGGTAGTAGCCATTTGAACAGGTATGCTGCTTTTATTTCATTGTCATATAACTATGCTTGTGTTTGTTCTCCTACTGTTCCGCTGTTTCATGCGTTGCAATCTTAAGTGTGTGTGTAAGCTGCCTGTTTTGGCCTGGTTAGACAAAATGGAAAACATCTATAACAGAATAACAAACAACAAAAAAGGATAAAATGGGAGATGAATTTTGAAACCTAAAGCAGATCTTAGTCCATAAAGCATGGACACTGAATGCAAAGCCATTAAATTCTGATTTGCAAGCTTTTCACAGTCTTCACAAAGAAACACTACATTTGCACATATATGTATCTGTTTTTGAAGTTTTATCCAGCTTTTTGTCCTGTGGCTAAACACAACAATGGTCACACTATTAATTTCATCTTCACAGTAGCATGGATCATGTGCTGAACATGTCTGACTCATACATCTTCACTCCCTACGTTTACCCGGCATCATGGACCGAGGACTGGGCTGTGCGTCAGATAATCAGCCTGTGGGTGGTGACCAACCTTGGAGCTGAGCTAATTTACCTGGGCTTTGGTACTCTTAGCTTCTACTATGTGTTTGACCATAAGCTCATGAAACATCCACAGTTTATTAAGGTAACTGTTTAATGGACAACACCCTGTTCTGACATCTGTAGACAATTTATAAGTCATTGAATGGATTGGAGGTGTAAACTGTTAGTGACCATTTTGTTTTTATTATTTAACATCAGACCTGGAAACAATTCCAAAGCAAACTCCCAAATCCTAATTTTGTCTTTGACCCAATGACAGAATCAGGTAAGAAAAGAGATTCAGCTAGGAACTGTTGCCATCTTCTGGATGAGCTTCCCTACAGTGGCACTTTTCTTCTGGGAGGTCAGGGGAAACAGCAAACTTTATGACAACATCAGCGGATCTCCTCTGGGTAAGACAATGGTTACCTTAAAACCGAGGCCAGGATTTATGTTAGCTTCAATCAACTCAAATCTGAAATTAAAGTTATTTGATTAACTGCCTTAATGTGAGCGGTTAATCAAGACAAAGCTTTCGCATTTGTTTAAAAGGGCTAAAATAGCCAACATCCATTAGCATACTGGTTTGTTCTGTTTCAGGCTGGTCCGGGGTCTTCCTGAGCATTGCTGGTTTCTTGTTCTTCACTGACATGAGCATCTACTGGATACACCGCTCTATGCACCATAAGAACATTTACAAGGTGAGCTTTAGCATGTTTATGAATATTTAAGGTGCTCTAAACAATATTTTAGTCATAAAATGTGCAGTAGCTGTGAACAGAGGTGTGGCCCTAAATGCAGACTACAGCCATTAGGATGCAGTTCAATCAAACATTTATTAAAGAAAACTAAGCAGGCTTACACTGAGAGCACAGTGGCAAATGTCCAAACAAAGGTTATTCCAAACAAAAACATAATCCAAAGGGAAAATCCATAAACAAAGAACAAGGTACAATCCAAAGGGGTAAATCCTAAAAAGCGCAGGGACAGAACACTCAACACAGACAGGATGTAACAAAGACTGAGCAGAACAAGCAAACATTTAAACACTAGGGCGGGACCAAGACCAGGTGGAGGCAATCAGACACAGGCAAGCAGGTGAAACCAACTGAGGGGAACAGACAGGACCAGACCAAAATGCAGAAACACAAACTGAACACTCAATGGATAAAAACTAAACAGGACAGACTGAACACTGAAAGACAAACTAAACATAACAGGAAGCAAGCACACAAGACTAAACACTGTCAAATGAACAATCACCAGATAGAGAACACAAACCAACATTTAACAGACAGAAAACTAAATAACACAAATAAACTACAACCTAACAACGAACAGACTAAGACTAGTGGTCTGTACTATGAAGCGAGGTAACTGGCTTATCCAGGTATGTTCAGGAATAACTTTGTGACGTCGGGTGTAACTTCCTGATTAACCCGTACTACGAAAGGTGGATAAGTGTTAACCTGTGGTCCATGGCAGTTCACGCTGCATCTCTAAACTGCTCCGAGCAGGTTTTGTTCGTGGTTAACTCGAGTTTACCCTGTATACGTGGACTACACACCACATCTGTACTCAGTGTTAATGATGAGAAGTAGGCTATTAATATGCTACCACTTGATAAAATATTTTTAGATTTCATCCTGATTTGTTCAGCATGAAACAGCAATTTCAATGGACCTTTTGTGCATTTGTAGCCTACCATAACATCTTAATCATATTACACATAAAAGAAGAGCCCATAAAATACATCATAGAGATTTGAACTACTCCTCAGGAGGAGGTTAGGTTCACAGCATCAGTTGCCGAAGTAACTGATCTTCGGTTAATCTGATCTCGATCTCTGAAACAGAAAACCCAGAGTTTCCCTCATCTCAGGCTTAACATACTCAGCATTTTCACTAATCCCACTTTCTGAAACAGCACCCAGGAGTAAACACTAAAACATAAACTAAGGCACAGGACTAAGAACTAAGACAGATAATAAGTAAATTAAACATGCAAATAAACGAAAGAATAAACTAGGTTACAAAACCCCAAACCATGACAAGATGAAATTACATTAACATTACATTTATTGATTTAGCTGATGCTTTTATCCAAAGCGACTTACAATTGCTATACATGTCAGAGGTCGCACACCTCTGGGGCAACTAGGGATTAAGTGTCTTGCTCAGGGACACACCAAAGGCAAGCATCTTATCTAAGCGCCATCACCACCCCAAATAAAACTTACAGAAACACAGAACCCAAAAACAGACTAAAACAGGAAAAACATCAACACAAAACCACAATCCTAACAATTCTGATCAAAACAAAGAATCAAATGAATATGTTTAATGGAAAAGGGGGTCACTCGAAGTGATGGACCCACTAAGAATTATCACCTGACTCTGCAGGTTCCCTCAGCTGAGCAAATGAGCATCTTTTGGCTCATTGTTTTGGTTTTACAGACAACAACTTCACTGTTTTGGTTCACTGCTCTCATCAACTTGTTTTCAGCAGGCAGCTGTTTCCAGTGAAAAAGCTCTGATAAAGCCAATTAATACTGCTTGGTAAAAGAGTGACGCATTTAGCTGCTAAAGAGGCAGATGTTTCCTTCAGTAGCTGTGGAAGACCAATATAGAGCTAAAAGGAGAGTGAATCAAGAGTGATTCAACAACTGAGCTACATCTCAATATATAAAGCCAGTAACTGTTCACTTTTATCATTTATTTGTGAGATGTCCACTTAGTCTGAAATTTATAAAAGTTGCAAAATTGGGCTATGTCTTTTACCTCTGAAGCAACTTTCTGAATCTCGATTAAATTCGCCGTAGGACTTTGTGTACCTTGTTTGCATGGTGTAAAATTATCCTAATATTAAGACCATTTGTGTTTCTCCCCCTCAGCACTTACATAAGCAGCACCATATATTCAAGATCCCTACGCCTTTTGCCAGCCATGCCTTCCACCCACTCGATGGCTTCCTGCAGAGCTTGCCCTATCACGTATACCCTTTCGTCTTCCCCCTTCACAAGGTGGTGGTCTACTTGTCACTGTTTACTAAACATTCTGATGTTAGCTCTGAGGGGTAACAGTATTGCAAGTAGCTATACAAGTTTCACTGCATACATTAAACATTATTATTCTGGCTCAGCTGCTTGTGGACACAATTTGATGATGTTTGCTTGAAAGTTAAGTGTAAAAAAGCAAAGAATTCCAAAAAGTACAGTATAAGCATGATGTAAACTCTGTCACATCTGGGATATTTACATTACAGGTGGTCTACCTGTCACTCTTTGTCTTTGTCAACATCTGGACCATTTCCATACACGATGGAGACTACCGCCTTCCCGGCCCCCTGATATGTCTGATCAATGGTGCTGCTCACCACACAGACCATCACCTCTTCTTCAACTATAACTACGGACAATACTTCACGCTCTGGGATCGTCTAGGGGGCTCCTACAGACACCCCTCAGCCCTGCTGCGGAAGGGGCCACATGACCACATTCGCGAGCTCAAGGCAGAGGCTGCACAAACGCAGTGATGATGAAGCTGCTGGCAGGATTTGTCTTTTCTGGTTTCTACAGAAATGCTCAGCTTGGGCGATGATGCAATTGACAATAGCATCAGATGTCAAACATCCATCAGGAGCAGAAATTAGAACACAGAGACCAGAAAAAGACAATGGATTGTGTCTCAAAGAGTTGTCCAAATGTTAAAAACAAATAAAATGAAAGCAGTTTTGGAGGGATTTACATTTTTACAAAGATTTCTGGATGAAATGATTTCATGCACGGCCTGAAGATATCTAGGCTAGGAAATAAGATTGTGCCACAGTGAATAAAACCCAGCTAACCAGTAGTCTAACTGGTCCATAAAGAGTTAAAGCAAATGTGCTTATATCAATAAGGTTTTAACAATTGTTTAATAACACCTTAATGTAACACAACAGCACCACAA